GTAAATCTCATGCAATTTTAGCAATACATGAAATAGCCAATCATATTACTTTACTTTGCTTATTCGATGATGCTACCAGATACGCGTGCATGAGAGGTATATCAATCTAGCCCAAGGAGTTGATGAAAATTAATTCAGTCCTGGATTGGATTTTAACTTGACTTTATGGTTGCTCGATACAGATTTTTATAATGGAAAGTTGCGATTTAAATCCGTATTTTTGGACAAATATTATACATGTTTAAAAACAAAAGGCATCTTACTTATATAAAATAACAAGAATTTAATTTTAAAAAATTCACAAAATTTGCGAGTTTGATATTTTGGCTTCAAAGTCATCTAACTCGTGAAAAACGACATCGATGCATGACCTCTAAATTTTATTTCGTAAAATAATTCCTCGTAGTATACTCAATTATTTAGACAATTTAAAAAAAATAATTGTTGAGCTAAAATTTTACATAATCCACTTTTTTATGCTTGTGATGTTACTCTGAGTGTATATCCACACTGGGCAAGCTTGAAAAATATGCCCGACCACGGTGGGAATCGAACCTACGATTCCCATCGTGGTCAGGCATATTTTCAAGCTTGCCCGGTATGGATATACACTCAGAGTAACACTACAAGCATCATATTCACCTGACTGAGTACATTACACCAACACAGAAAAAATCATGATTATTATTAGATAACATTGATATCGAAGGAACTAGATTCTGTTCCGAAATATCACATACTCGAACCGACCAGACCGCGTAGGCGCGTAGCTCAGTTGGCAGAGCATTGGGCTAGTATTCCAAAGGTCGTAGGTTCGATTCCCACCGTGGTCAGGCATATTTTTCAAGCTTGCCCGGTGTGGATATACACTCAGAGTAACATCACAAGCATCATATTCACCTGAGTGCATTACACCAACACAGAAAAAATCATGATTATTATTAGATAACATTGATATCGAAGGAACTAGATTCTGTTCCGAAATATCACATACTCGAACCGACCAGACAGCATAGGCACGTAGCTCAGTTGGCAGAGCATTGGGCTAGTATTCCAAAGGTCGTAGGTTCGATCCCCGCCCTGGTCAGGCATATTTTTCAAGCTTGCCCGGTGTGGATATACACTCAGAGTAACATCACAAGCATCATATTCACCTGAGTACATTACACCAACACAGAAAAAATCATGATCCACTTTTTTGTTCAATAGAATTTTTTAAAATTGACAACGGATAATAATTGAGTGTACTGAAAGAAATCAGTGTATAAAATAAAATTCGTGGGTCACCGATGTCGTTTTCAAATTTGGAGTTAAATTACTTTAATTGAAAGCGAAAATATCCGCCATTTTGAAACGTCGTTGTTACCATAGCATAGCAGTTGTGTAACTTTTGTGATAAACATGTTGTTCAAGTACTGTTTGTTTTTGAACAAATAATAATTATGCAAAAATACGGAATATCTAAATTGTGAACTGTTCCATAGTTTTGAAAAACGGTACTTTAACCACCAAGTGATGATCTATATATGGGTATATGTGATGTCGTTTCAAAACGTCAAACTCGGGTTGGACTGGATTCAAGGCTCAAACTCTAGCAAAGGAACAAACTGCTCGAACTTGAAATCCCAACCAGTTCTTATTTTCGGATTTGGGATACTAGGCTACTAGGATACTAGGCTACACGCAAACGCGACTATGTTTTCTACTAGTAAATGAAACAACTGCATGAATTAAGTATATTCTCATATGAATGGTTATAATGATGGGGTCATGTTGTTATTCAAGAAAGCCTGTTTGGATAATTTCTGGTCATACTTGTTATATGAGCTTGAAATTTTAGAACGTTTGACTATCCGGTGGCGGTGAATAGGGCTATCCGGCCTTCGTACAGCACTCTATCTGCATCATATAAGTATTTGAGGAAAGTGATCGGTGTTTCGTTCGCTCGGGAGAACAGTCTCGAATTAACTGGTAGGGCTACCCAGTCTGAATGAAGTTGAAAAATTAGTATCTGGACTTGTAATTGAGAATACAATTCGCATGTGTGTATGTAAATCAGAAATGTAGTTTAGCAAGTTGCTATTTTTACAAAGAGGATTTTTCACCGTAATTGTCAGTAGCTTATCTCAGATATTAATTACGTAATTTATTTTTTTTACAGGGGTTTTGCCAGAAATGGTTACCAGTGTAAAGGTAAATATATTGTTACCCTACTATAGACAATGCACATTGTACATGCATTGCGTCGCGTGTACCCATAAAATTCTTCCATTATTTCAGTTAGACTTGTTTGCAACACATGCACTCGTATCAAGCTTGTCAACAACTTGTCACAATACAGTTATTTTATGAAACTACTACAAGCTAGCTATACTTGGCAACTTGTTAAAAACGTCATGAATTGTAGAATAAGTTAACAAGTTTGTAATTCAGTCTATATTGAGTAATTACCCATGTGGCAAGTTAGGTGTGGTCCAACTTCTCCTTACGGACATCTTATCTCGGTCAGTTTTCAACGTTTCGACCATGAGGGGTGGAACGAATACGGGATCGCTGGACTATTTGGTCCCACAAATGTTAAAGTTGCCAGGAAAGTTTTAGAAAAAAAAGGAGAGAAACGTGCAAAATAGATTAATTCATGAAATTCAAACGGAGGAATAATATATTAACAAAACAAATAGGTATTGAGTGGGAAATGGATGGACTAAATTGTGTTTATTGCAGCGTAGATGTGAGGTCGACAGGGCTTGGAGGGCATGGCTTAAACAATGTACTTCGTTTCCCGTTTCTGTCTAGCTCGCCATGTGCCGGAATACTGCAGACAGGAATTTTTTGTGTTCTGTGGGCACAGTGGTCACAAAAGGAAATTATTTTTGCCAGGCTTGGTTCAACTTCCGGCATGATGTATTAACATTTTAAATAACCCATTTTGCTATGTCCTTCAATTCATGCAGTGTTCTTATTAAAGATGTCCAACTATATCAACAAGCTGATATCAATTTGTGCTCTCACTTCTTGTTCACAGCTACCTTCGGCTGCTTGTGATAACGCTGTCCAACGGATTGTGATCTTTCCCAGCATTTTAAAATTGCCCACTCATTGGTATAACCCAGATTAAACTTTAGCATTCATAAATTGAAAGTTTCTTTCTGTGAATTGTAAGGTTCATAACCGTGGTTCATACAGCCTTAAAACATTTTCACAAAGATTATAATTAAAAAATAACTGTCCGATGGATATAGCAGTATCCTGCCTTCGTACAACTGGCGCCTACAGTAAGTTTGTTAAAATATTGACGATTCATCTGCTCTCCCTCTTTTCAAACAAACGAAAATAATTTTTCACCCACTCCCTAATCACACTTAGCTCATATGTGGGGATGTGCGCATCGTTAATGTCTGACCCGCCTCTGCCTCCTCTACAGATACTAATAAGGGGGCGTTAATTACGATATTTATTTCAGGTTGTGACCTTGTAATCCATAAAAGATGTTTCGACAAGACGTTACCTGTCTGCAAGAGAGCTGAAGATGTAAGTATGCGTTGATGGCATAGAAGCCTTATCGCCACTTATCACTTCGCCTACATCTTTGTGAGAAAAACATTATGTCACGTATTTTGTACGTTTGTATGTTTTACCATATATACCAAGAATGTATTTAGCCTTAAGGTAATTCTACGACTTCATCGTTTTGGATAACAAATACAGTACTTAAAGAAATAAGAACATATATATATTTGAGAAATTCATTGCATTTTTGTGAATAACAAACATGTTAATTTGTAAACATGGTCAAACCTTCCATTTAAAAAAAAATGCTTATTTTAGAAAGATCATTTCTATAATTAAATTATTTCTATTACTAAAGCGTGACTGAGAGTTTTTTAAAATAACTCGCTATGCTAATGCGCTTAATAAAAAGTGACATTTGACAGAAGTTAGCATGGGCTGTAGGTTAAATCTCATCTCTCGCTTTGTGGGATCTCTCAAGTGGAATAGGAACATCACCTGTTTCGATTATTTTTTTGCCAAATACGTGACCATGCATATGCCGATATGGTTTGTCAAAATGTTTGGCGGTGCGGCTGCAGATTAATACGAACATAAACATTGACCGAATCAATAGATTTATAAACCTAAAAAGTTTAAGACACTGTTGCAGTCATAAATATAGAAAACAGTTTTTTCAATCACAACAAAAATATTTTCGAGCTGATGGCGACATGTTTGCTCATAACAAACCAAAACGAATCGATTCATAAAAGATGCTTTTTCTTGAAATGTAATCATTATGCTATTGTTTTGGATGTTAGGTAAACTTTGAAGACTATATCAACAATCATACTTTCTGCTTTTAGATTGGCTAAATCATAGGGCTTGAAAGTGTTTGATATCGCAGAAACCCACTCAATTAATTGTTTGTGATAAGAACTTAATATTTAATATATTGTATCACCATGAAGACCATTAGTTATGACTCAAAAATCATGTCATGAATCCTCGGGCTATCATTCAGGTTTTTTCGCTAGTTATCCCTTTTTGTACCCATTTGTATAGTCTAGATATCCCGGCACAGTATACTGGGTAATAAAATGGTCTGGATTTAGACAGGGTAAAATAAATTAGTAGAATTAACCTACATCGCTGCTGAAAGGGTAACTCTATATAGCTATCTTCTGTTATTTTCAGGCATTACCAAGATTAACGTGGGAGCAATTCATGTCTATCTGGAATTATGCAAATCTCTTTCAAAGCGACACATTGCGCAATCGAAAGGTCGAAGCTGTTCCACTCACAAGCTGAAAATCCCCGCGAAAGAATGAAAGCTAAAGAACCTCCTGAATTGATCTGCGCTAGCTGCAGAACTTGGTTTGAAGGAAATCCCGAAGACAATTCTTAATAGATGTGGCAAATTGTTGTAGATAGTTCATTTAGAAATGGTTTGAAGATTTAGTGTACAAAGAAGTAGATATAGATTTGTAACAAAATGTACAATAGCGAAGCACTTTTCATGCGAAATAATTTATGCTTGTACAGTAGCAAAGTCGACAGTTTATGCAATGAAATTTCAATCCTGATATTACTTTGAAACAACAAGAAGTGTTAAGGAAGTTATAGATAATTACCGTTCTTTTATTTGGTGGAAACATGCACCGCGTATATTTATTTGGCGACTTTGTAGATTGTGATCGGTTTTAAAACACTCAATTAAGTTCCGCAGTCAAATTTATCAGCGATAATTCATGAGCAAAGCACAGAAGAACCCAACACTGACCGTGTCGTTGTCCTAAACTCAATTGAATTTCTTACTTGAATTTCTCTTCAAAACAAGTCTGTTTGAGAAGTATTATAACAAACTCAAAAGCTGTTTACCAGCGTAAAAACACCTCAAAACAATATTATGCGAAAAAGCTGAGCCAGCGCTTCGTTCCTGGAAGTTCTTGGACCGGTCTTTCTGTCAGTTTTATACGACAGTAATGAACGAATTCCCGTTTATTGCCTCTATATATTGTATAATCATTAATCGAGTTGAAGTGCATGAATGGTATTTTTTTTAATGGAGCAGTTTTTGGGAGAAAATTCAATGCGAAGGTCAAGTTATAGTCCGTGTGTTGTGACCCGATATCGTTCACTTTCATTAAGCATGTCTTAGATCTGAAATATTTTTACGGGAACTAACACTTTCGAACACGCTGAGTTCAAATCCGAAAAGTTCCCACTCCGTAGACCCGCAGTTTTTTCACAAAATGCTATTTTATCTTCACTAATTTCACAACAAATTTTTTCATTGTTCAACGATACGGATCGATGACGATACACGATTATGTCACTCAAAAGGACGAATTTCCATTAACCATTCTTCCTTTTAACAAAAGATCGGTTTTGCTCGAATAATTTTGAGTTATGTAATCTTATGCGTGTTGGACGTAAACAATATATCTTGTCTATAACTTTGAGAAGGTACAGATAACGCTTTCAAAAATCCTCAGTTCTAGAGATATCTCTATAAAATCACAATGACGTTAATGTCAAGTCTTTTAGCTATGTCACTGGCCTGAAAAATAACTCTTTTAATGCGATCAAGATATTTAAAACAAAAGTAACGCGAAGCCAACGTAACGGCAAAGATAACGCTAAAACGAAATATTGTCGAATGGTTGCAGGTAGAAGACTTACGACAGGATCAATCTTAAATAACCTTAAACTATAAGAATAAATGTTCACATCAAAGACAAAGATCAGTCACAAAGTATAAAATACGCTCTGTAAACTTACCGCGAAGTGGAGAAATGTGTGCATGAGCTGTTTATTTGATGATTTCGACGTATATAGAAGCCCTCTTTCCAATAATACTCGCTTATCGCACAGCATAACACCAACTGATGTAATAGTTCAATTGCAATGATAAGTTATCTCTTGAATTACGTCTTGGAAACAGTGTTGGAAATTTCAGTGCTGATCCATTACATATAGATTACCGTTTTATATCTTTGTATAAAACATTTTGATCGCATGTAAGGAATTATTTCTCAGCCCAGAGACATAGCCCAAAGACTTGACATTAACGTCCTTGTGATTTTATAGAAATATATCCAGAACTAAGGATATTAGAAGGAATTATCTGTACCTTCTCAAAGTTGTAGACAAGATATGTTGTTTACGTCCAACACGCATAAGATTACATAACTCAAAATGATTCGAGCAAAACCGGTCTTTTGTTAAAAGGAAGAATGGTTAATAGAAATTGGTCCTTTTGAGTGACATAATCGTGTATCGTCATCGATCCGTGATGTTGAACAATGAAAAATTTGTTGTGAAATTAGTGAAGATAAAATAGCATTTTGTGAAAAAACTGCGGGTCTACGGAGTGGGAACTTTTCGGATTTGAACTCAGCGTGTTCGAAAGTGTTAGTTCCCGTAAAAATATTTCAGATCTAAGACATGCTTAATGAAAATCGTTTTCTAGGCACTTTTCGAGGTCACAACACACGGACTATTATTGCAATTTACCGCATCAAAACAACAATAAGGTGCAATTTACGTTGCGCCATGCAGCTCATGAATCATTTAGTGATTTAGGAATATTAGTTCTCATACGTTCAGTATGTGAAGAAAGAAACAAACTAACAGATAGTAAGTTTCACAAGAAATGTTTTTGACCTCTTCTGCATGTATATCTTCGTCTTACATACAGAAAGAAAATGAAATATCGTTGCATAATTAACAGGGCTTTAATTTTTATTACCTGCAACTTTATTTAACCGCACACTTATTTTGTGTGTATTAGAAAATGGCTGGACCATTTTGTACAAATAGTGCATGCATGACAATAATGTTAACATTAATTATTGCATGGGAATAATATATTTTAGTTTGCATGTCAATGAGACTAAGTAAATATTGACGTATATTAATTAATGAAATAAATTTCAAACACTTATTATTAATAATTCATATTAAGCTTATTGGGAAATCATGTCAACTATAATTTGTCATGTGAAGAGGCTTATATACCTGATAAAACTCATCTTCATTAGTATTCTTTATATAAAAGTCCATGTCCTAATAAATATTCTTTATATAAAGAATACTAATGAGACTGCATCTATTGTAGTCGTACGCGTGGTTGAAGCTATTCAAAATACTTGTATAATTGTGTTTTATCATTACTAAAATGCTCGTGCTGCGCACTCGCATTGTAAATATGATAAAACACTCATACGCGTTTATTAAACAGTACATAATAAATGATTTTTTAGCGATTTCCAGCAAGCTTTTCGCGCTCATATTCGACATTTCCGCTTTGTTCGGGGACAACCTTAATTGAAATAGCTGTATATAGATGGAATATTTGTAAATGGAATTTTTGAACGAAAATTTATATACTGTAACTTTTGCTATAGACATGCAGCGGCCCTGCGAGTTAAATTCCTGCCGGAGGGGCTGTAGTTCCAGTTCCGAAAATGCATTTACAAAGACAATACCTACATTCAGTTATATTAGAATTAGATGCCCAAAATCTCGATAGAATTGTTGCCCTGCCCCCTGTTTTTGGTTAACATTTATCTGCAGTACCTCAATAACAAATGTTTGATAAATGCTTTTTCTCCTCGCAAATTTTTTATGCTTTTTATAAATTTTGGGCAATATTCAAATTGCCACTCAAAACATCAAACTGACATTTTACCTGGACATACCCACACTTGAAACCGTCAAGCATAACATACCTTTATTATGACAAGATCTCTTCGGAATTAAGATATTCATTTTGACACAGCATATTAAATTTGACCTTTTGTGTGGCAACTTGAATAAGGTATATGAAATCATAGACAATGGATTGTCTATGATAAAATATATAGGGAGGAGCTTTTTAATAATAAAATATATACAGTCAGAGGATAAAGAGGATATATGCCGCATGCTGTGATGCTGACCCAGCCAGGAATAATATTATTTCTTCAGCTAGTG